TAAAAATGCAAGTAGAAAAATAGGAACCACTTTGATGGGAAGGTAAAAGCATTCTGTGCCCCTTTGGCGTTGAGTCATGCCGGCCACATGACCACGGAGACGTTTTCCGACAGCGCTGGCTCTTCGGCTTTGAAACGGAGATGAGTATGTGCCCCCCCCCCCGGGAACGGCTAGCACGCTTGTGCGAGGGGAACCTTTACCTTTACTATTGTATTCCTCGACCAACATATCTCAATTATTATTATTATTATTAAACACATTTATATGCCCCTCAATCCCGAAGGACTCTGGGGCAACTTTAAGGCATGTGGACTTCAACTCCCAGAATTCTATGCTATGCTGGCTGTGGAATCCTGGGAACTGAAGTCCACACATCTTAAAAAGTTGCCGAGGTTTGAGAAACACTGCCTTCTGCCACTTCTGCCAGTTTGCTGAGAGATAGCATGGCAGTCTTCCTTGTTCCTTCCGTCTCTTTAATAACTGACCAGGCTGTAACATGACACTATGCAGGTAGTCCTCAGCATACAACTATAACTGAGCCCAACATTTATGTCGCTACATGAAACATTTGTTGAGCGAGCTTTGCCCCATTTTACGCCCTTGCTACCATTGTTAAGATTGTTAGATTGGTAACCCGGCGGTTAAGTGAAACTGGTTTCCTTTGCTTGTCACGAGGTTGTAACTGCAACGGTCATAAGTATGAGTCAGTTGACAACTGTCTGAATTTTGATCGAAGTGTCCATGGGGGTGCTGGAACGGTCATAACTCTTGAAAAACGGTCACTTTTTCAGTGCCATTTTAACACAAACGATCCTTAAATGAATTGTTATAAGTTGAGGACTGTATCTGTATTTCTGACCACTGATTTTGAGCATTTTTTTTCCTCTCCTGCCAGGTAAACCTGAGTGAACAACAGGTCTCCTCCATTATGTTTATCAGGGCCCTGATGATGTCAGTGTGCCATTCCGCCGTAGTCTGTAAGCCTTTACTGTTATCAACGGGGGGG